ACAGGCGGGCGACAGCATCCGCCTTGGATCTGCTGCTGCCGGCCCAGGTGCGGACGCTGGCGATGGCGACAGGATCCACGTTGGATCTGGTGCAGCCGGGTCAGGTTCTGGATCTGCTGTGCAGGGCTCCGGATCCTTTGTGCAGTCGCCTTCTGCGATAATTTCTGCATCGCCACCAAGAACAAGATCTCAGCATGGTATTTTGAAACCAAAAGTAAGTACAGACGATACGGTCAGGTATGACAAAGGGCGTCGTTTTGCCGGTCTTGCTGTCACAGGAGAACCAAATACCTTGGTAGAGGCATTGGAAAATAAAAATTGGAAAAATGCAATGAATGAGGAATATGATGCTCTCATGAAAAATAGAACATGGCATCTAGTTCCTCCAGCAAAGGGGAGAAACTTAATTGACTGCAAATGGGTCTATAGAATTAAAAAAAGGCAAATGGAGAAATAGACAGATACAAGGCTAGACTAGTGGCAAAGGGGTTTAAACAAAGGTATGTTATAGATTACGAAGATACCTTTAGCCCTGTTGTGAAAGCAGCTACTGTTAGACTTGTTCTGTCCATTGCAGTATCAAACAATTGGAGTCTTCATTAATTGGATGTGCAGAATGCGTTTCTTCATGGCGTTCTAGAGGAAGAAGTGTACATGAGACAACCACCTGGGTATGAGGTAAAGGACAAGTATCATTATGTATGCAAGCTTGATAAGGCTTTATATGGTTTGAAACAAGCACCTAGAGCATGGTATTCTAGGCTGAGTGTAAAACTTCAAAGACTTGGTTTTCAGCCATCCAAAGCTGACACATCACTGTTCTTCTACAGAAAAGGCAGAATCACCATTTTCATGCTAGTATATGTTGATGAGTTGCAAGCTCATCGCAGGATGCAACTAAAGCATTGCTTGAAGATCTAAGGAGAGACTTTGCTCTTAAAGATCTTGGTGATTTGCACTACTTCTTGGGAATAGAAGTAAAAAGGGTTAAAGATGGCATAGTCTTGAGTCAAGAAAAGTATGTGTCAGATGTGCTAAAACGGGCAGGTATGATGAATTGCAAAGTGTCAAATATGCCTCTCTCAACTTCTGAAAAATTATCTAAGGAAGAAGGAGAGCTTTTAAGTGCTGAAGATTCTACAAACTATAGAAGTGTTGTAGGTGCTTTGCAATATCTAACACTTACAAGACCTAATATATCTTTTCCTATCAATAAAGTATGTCAGTTCTTGCATGCTCCCACTTTTTCACATTGGACAGCAGTGAAGAGAATCTTGAGATATTTAAGAGGTACTATGAGTACAGGGTTGAAAGTCACAAGGTCAATGTCAACTTTGGTGAGTGCATTCTCTGATGTTGATTGGGCAGGTTGCCCTGATGATAGAAGATCAACAGGGGGCTTTGCTGTTTTCTTTGGACCAAATCTTATATCATGGAGTGCACGGAAACAAGCTACTGTATCAAGATCAAGTACAGAAACTAAGTATAAAGCTTTGGCTAATGCCACAGCAGAATTGATATGGGTTCAAACCTTGTTGAAAGAGCTACGTGTTAATCACTCTCCTGTTGCACGGTTGTGGTGTGATAACATTGGTGCAACGTATCTATCAGCAAATCCAGTGTTTCATGCTAGAACAAAACACATCGAGGTAGATTATCACTTTGTGCGAGAAAGGGTAGCTAAAAAGCTTCTTGATATTCAGTTCATTCCCACTAATGATCAAGTTGCAGATGGTTTCACCAAAGCCTTATCATGGCGCAAGTTAGAAGAGTTCAAGAACAATCTCAACTTGGTGAAGTTATGATTGAGGGGGGGTGTTAGAATATATTGTACGTATATACGGTTGTGTATATAAAACCGTATATACTCTTGGTGTTGCATGTGTATCCAACTTTGTAATCTGGTAGTTAGGTTTAAGCTTCGATCCTTATCTTGTAGATAGCTAACTTGAGGATCAAGCCTAACCAACTACCGAATCCTGTAAACCCTAGCCTATGGCTATATATAACACGCAACGCGTCCCTGCTAGGCATACACTTCAAGCCATCTTTCAGAATCATCCATGGACATGGATCGCCGCCGCCATCACCACGCCGGAGAATTCGGTCGGTAACCTCATGCTCCTCCTCTTATCTTCTCCGCCTCATCCATGTATCAGCTAGCAAGCAACCGAGTCATAGCAAACGCAAACTTGAATGAATGAATGAATCAACCAATCGATCGATCATTCGCAGTGGCGGACGTGGTGCTGTGGCGGCGAGGCCGGGTGAACCTGAGCGCGCTGCTGCTGGCAGCCGCCGTCGCCTCCTGGATCCTCTTCAACCGCGCCTCCGGATACATGGCCGTCTCGCTGGCCGCCGACGTGCTGCTCCTCCTGCTGACGGTGCTCTACGCGTGGTCCAGGGCCGCGCGCCTCCTCGGCCGCCCCGCCCTGCTCGGCCGCCCCGCCCATCCCCGCCCCGCCCCGCCCATCCCCGACCTGCAGCCGGCGGCCGACGAGCTCGCCGCGCTGGTCCGCTCCGGCCTTGCCGGCCTCACCTCCGCCTCCCGCCGCGTCACGCAGGGCCAGCCCGGCTCCGGGCGCGTCTTCGCCTGCCTCGCCGCCGCCGCCCTGCTCGGCCGCCTCGCGCGCGACCTCCCCACCCTTTTCATAGCTGGAACTGGAATCTGTGCGCTCGGGCGGGTTGCTCTATCCTCTCATAACAAGTGGGGTTAGGGTGGGTTCCAATGGGCTAATAGGGTTAGCCCACTTAATATTCTGCCGGTCCAGTGGAAATCCACTAATGCAATTTAAGTGGGATGGGATTCTTAGTCCCACTTATTCCCACCCCCACCTGCAGCGTGACCCCGCGTCATCCAAAGAAGCCAGCACGCCACAGCGCGGAAGAAATCTGTTGCGTGTTATCAAAAATCAAAAAGATTGTATGAGATGGTCAATATCCATTTTCAAAAAGCCCCAAATAAAAAAACCAGCAGCTCGCCATCATCACAATTTGAATGTTCAGGTCAGCAAGTTAGGTGTCAAGAGTCCCAATTAGTAGCACTCCCATGGTGAGTACTAATTTGGTTCGAATCCAGGGCACACTTCATGGCACCCTTGTTAATTCTGTGCTTGCCTCCATCCCCAATTATTTCATGACATGCTTCATCTGGCCACAACAATCCCTGAACAAGCTGGAGCGAATACTACGGGGCTTTCTTTGGCAAGGGAAGAACTCGGCAAATGGTGGACACTGCTTGGTAGCGTGGGATTTTGTCACTCTACCAAAGCTTAATGGAGGGCTTGGCCTCAGAAACTTGAAAGAACACAACATGGCAATGATCTGCAAGCTTACATCCAATATTTTGCAAGGCCACGGAGCCCCATGCTATGAATGGTTCGCCAGAAGATACTGCAGCAGCACTCTTCCAGATTGTAAACGGAGTGGGGACACTCCCATTTGGAGTTGCCTGCAGTCAACCATACAGCATGTTATTCAAACTACCAGGTGCACTTTGGGATCCAGGATCTCCTTCTGGAAAGATTCATGGCTTGCATGCGGAAGACTTGAATTCTCCTTCCCAACGCTTTTCTCTTTTGCCAAAAACAAGAGTTGTTCGGTTGCATCTCAACTCAATAATGGCGTCTGGGAAATCAAGCTACACCCGAATCTAACTGCCACAGCCGCCAGAGAATTGCAGGCCCTAAGTGACGCTTTGGACGGCATCCAACCCATGGAAGAGCATGCTGACTCACGGAGGCCAATCTGCCTATATAACAAGCCTACAACACGCTTCTTCTACGAGATGCTTACATTTAAGGGGCTCCAATGCCCCTTGAAAGACAAGATTTGGGACAGTATTATACCTAATAAATACAGAGTTTTCCTCTGGTTAGCGACCCGTGGCCGGGTAAACACAAGGGACAACATGCTGAAGAAACAATGGAAGATCACAACTCATAACGGCTGTGATTAGTGCCCCGCATCAGAAACCATACACCACCTGATTCTACGATGTCGGTTAGCTGATGCAGTCTGGAGCAAGGTTGGTCTATATGATATTGCAAATGTTTGCCCAGACTTGCAAACCTTCATTTTATCGGAGGAGACCACGGCCGCGCATGGTAAACTATGGCACGTCCTCTTTGCGGCGGTTGCGGTTGCTCTCTGGACAGCCCGGAACGCTCTCATCTTCAGGACAGAGACATGGACTGCAAATCGGACTTTCAAAGAGATCCACCAGCTTCTTCACCTTTGGAAAAATAGAGCGCGAAGTGACCAAGACTCAACCACCCTGTGTAATTACGCTGCTCTTTTCCTCCAAGCCTAACCCCCCTCTCTTCTTTACCTCTTTCTTTCATGTTAGGCTTGGTGGTGGCCTGCTGCACTTGTTGTGCTTCAACACACCACCTTCTTGTAATATGACTACTGTCATCTGGGTTTTTTACCCTGTTTTGAATGCAGAAGGTAGATCATGATCTACCTTTTCCTTCAAAAAAAAAAATCCAGGGCACACTGAAGCAAGCACGATTGTATTTGGGGGCGGAGAATTACAGAGCAACTGGCTGCAGAGCCCAAACGTCAACGGGGAATTGGAGGACGCACTGCACTGGTAGATCTGCATTCAGCTCATATCTATTTTCAGCGAAAGAAATCAACTGCATCTTACCATGAATTGCTTCTTATCGTTGATTTCTTTCGCTGAGAAGCATCAGAGGGCCAACATTTATTTTCAAAAACAAGCACACACAAAAAACAGCTGCTTCTCATGATAGTTCAAATGTTCAGGTTAGACACTCAGGCCTGAAATTGGCAGCACATCTATCTGAAACTTGGTTCGATTGGCGAAGCACAAGTTAATGTGCTAACAGCCGTGGATTTGGAGAAGCAGAGTACGAAAATGCAGGGATGGCTAGAACCAACCGTACACTGAAGCCAACACGACTGATTTGGGGAGGCAGAAAATTACAGAGCGAGAGACCAGTGTGAAATTAGTAACATCTGACAACGAACAGAAATCAACATGAACAGAGTGAGAGATTGCAGAAGAATTCAAGGGTAAACCACTTCAATTCCATCCCAGATCTGACTACATCCAAACAACAATCATGGCCAGGACATACAGCGGCGAGATGCGACCATTACACCCAAGACCATGAACACTGAACAACCATGGCTAGCTACTAATCTGGCGGCGCGACGTGGATATGAGTGGACCGGCGCGGCCTAGCCGCCGAATCCGTAGAGGGTGCGGCCCTGGCGCTTGAGGGCGTAGACAACGTCCATGGCGGTGACGGTCTTGCGGCGGGCGTGCTCGGTGTAGGTGACGGCGTCGCGGATGACGTTCTCCAGGAAGATCTTGAGCACACCGCGGGTCTCCTCGTAGATGAGCCCCGAGATGCGCTTCACGCCGCCCCGCCGCGCCAGCCGACGGATGGCCGGCTTGGTGATGCCCTGGATGTTGTCGCGGAGAACCTTCCGGTGGCGCTTGGCGCCACCCTTGCCCAGCCCCTTCCCGCCCTTGCCGCGGCCCGACATCTTCGATCTGCGGCGAGCTTCGCTTGGCTGCTGTGTGTGTGTTGCTGGTGGTGGTCGGCGGTGTGGCGAGATGAGATGGACGGGGCTGCGGCGTGGGGGATTTATAGCTGCGAGGCTTCCGGGGTGGAGATGGGAGCGATCCGCGTGATGCGGGGAGTGAGCCGTCGGATGTGAGATGGGTGGCTGGGAGTGGGGGAGAAGGTGTCGCACGGATCGGTGACGTGGCGTGGAGCGGGGGGGCTGGGCGGGAGGTGTGTTTTCTCACGAGTGGCCCCACAGCTCTAGCCCCGTTGGCCTAGGCAGCTTGGAAATTGTTTATGTTAAGAATAAAATAGTTGCTTATTAATTAAGCTCATTAGAATTAAGAGGGTGCTTGGATAAGTTACTTGTTAGATAGGTGCCTTGGTTCTCAAGTAACCATGTACTTCCTAGGCTCTCAAGTCAACTATTAATTCCTTAACTCTCAAGTAACTTTGAGTTTACTTTGACTCCCAAGTAACATGTGTACTTCCGTCCAGGTATAAATACCCATTTTATCTCTACTCTTATAAAACGACCCTTGTATACGTACGACACAATGCCTGTCCAACACTATACGATTAAAGACAAATGTAGATAATTCAGTTTGTGGGTCATAGCATTTAGAGATGATATGCTCTTTGGTCGTACTGGTCGGACTAGAAAACCATCGTACGCAGAGCAGTTTCGCTTATAACAAGCAGAGTTGGTGATGATGGTGTGCATGTCATCCTGGAATATAGGCCGTCCGATCTATATCTAACGGATAGAAATGAAACTATGAAAAATTATCTGCACTCCTCTCCACATTTGCATATAATAAGGCCTTCTCTCGTCCATCCTTTTCTCCCATAAAATCTTGATGTTCCTTGCAATGCACGGGCATCTTGCTAGTCTTCAATAAAGACTGATGGATCATATTTCATTCAAACTCTCTCGTTTTTTTACTTTTTTCTTTAAACAAGTTACGATCACTTTGCCCTAACATAGAGCGATTAGGCCAGAGAAAAGAATGGTGGTGCTCAACCATCGAGCCGTGTACGCGTAAACCTCCTCGACGCCTCGGGCGATCCTTGGCTGTGCCGGCAACCATGTACGTGTGGGGGATTTATAGCAGCGAGGTTTCCGGGGAGGAGATGGGGCGATCCGCGTGATGCGAGGCGTGGGCCGTCAAATGGGATATGGACGGCTGGGAGTGAGGGGGGTGGCGCGGATCGGTGACGTGGCGGGTCGCGGGGGCTTGGGCGGGAAGAGGTGTGTTTTCTCGGGATGTACTACCAGGGAGCACTGGTGGAAAAATGGCCTTTGGTCGCGGTTCGCAACTGCCATTAGTCGCGGTTGCGCAACCGCGACCAGACGGGCGCGACTAAAGGCCCCCCCTTTAGTCGCGGTTGCTTAAGAACCGCGACTAAAGGCCCGTCCACGTGGGCGGAGGACCTTTAGTCGCGGTTCTTGTGGCTAACCGCGACTAAAGGCCGCCACAGGTTTTTGAAAAAAAAAATTGAATTTTTTTTTCAAATTTCTGAATTATTTTAACCTCTAGTCTCTAATCACCACCCCTCATCACTTCTCAATTTATTCTTTTATCACCCCTCATCATTCCAAATCATCTAACTTCCCAACCGGTCACCCATCCCTCTCACTACTCCAGCCCAAGCACGCTTAACTTCCGGGTTCTATTCTCCCACGCTCCAAGTCTGCACTTGTTGTTTTCCTGACAATAATAAGATGTCAATCCTATTAACCTTCAG